ATCCCTCTTTTCCTAATTACTAAATTTCTGATATGGCTGGGCAGGGGAAAGAATGGTGTTCCTACTATACTATACGGTAGTTATGATAGTACTAGGCTTCCGCCATAACTTGTGGATAGAAGTGCATTATAATATCGAGATATTTATTATTTAAAGTGTTATTTATACATCTGCCATGCGTTAGCTGCGTAGTGATTAGAATTTCCTAGAAACCAATTATTCAGATTCTATATTTCCCTACCCATTTTGCTCATTGCTTACATCTCGTTATCGAGATCAATTTTCTTGTTTAGCATTATTGGGAGAGGTTTATTGTTGGAGACTTTAGTTTTGGGCCAGGGATTGTAGTCCCATTGCGAACTTTCGATTTATACTAACTGCAGTACAGGTGCAATACAATACAAGTAGTTCTCTCTGGTCAATGTCTTTGTCTTTGAGCATCACTAAGGACAGCAACGGAAAGTGTGTTCGAGTTCAAGGTTTCACAACCCTACCCGGCACCTTTGCTTGGCGCCTGCCCGAACAGGAGCCGCGAGATAATTTACGCCAGGCAGCACATAATTCTTGAATCCCTGCAATAATCTGCAGTTTTGCAGGAAATTATTGAGAGGCGCCTCGCTCAGTGCTACCAGTGCCAGCTCTTCAAACCCGCACTGCTTCGAGATGCGCTGTACCGGACAAAAAGCCATGGAGTACCGGTACTATACCGGACTGGACAGTAGCATGATAACTCTACTCGTGGGTGCTACGTGCGGATCCGCTCAGTTTTAGATAAAAAAAACAGCGCTCGAATGTGTGTGTAACAAACCCCGTATCTAGTGACCGGACCGTTGTCCATGGGGCACAAGGCGTTAAGATCGACCCCGCTTCTCCCCAACTTCAGCTAACAGCCTTCGCGGGCCCGAGTTAATCAACACCTTGCTATTGGCAATATCCGAAGCGACGAAGAGCGGAAAATGTCGCAAGCTTTCAGCAATAACCTTAACTCTATCAACATCGCAAATATCCTTAACTACATCGTCCCCGATGATGAGCCTAAAATACTGGCGTGGCTGTCTCCACTAGAGCCACGAGTACGGCATCGAGGCATCGTAGCCCAGCGCATGGACAGTGTAGGGAGCTGGCTGCTGGAAACCAAGGAATTCAAACGCTGGGAAAATGGCAGCAGGGAGGATGGATCCAATCACGCGACCTTATTCTGTGACGGCAATCCGGGAGCGGGCAAGAGCTACATCATGTAAGAGAGTGTGTATGTTACGGGAAATCAAAGAATGCTATTGCTGATAGGCTGTGATGACAGCTCCCTGGTTATAGACAAGTTATGCGACGAGACCGTGAAGCGAGATACTGCCGTTACCTGTTTTTACTTCGACTTTGCCGCCCGGAATGAGCAATCACCAATAGACATGCTTGGCTCCTTGTTGAGACAGCTTGTCAGTGGATTGGAGGAAATTCCGGAAACGGTGGTGGAGGGTTTTCGGAACCAGAAAAAGGCCATTGGGGGCAGGGGACTACAACTTTCAGGAATCATCAAGATGTTCCAGACAATCACGGCCATAAAGGGCACCTTTATATGTGTTGATGCTCTCGACGAATGTGCGCCAGAGCACCGGATAGTGGTTCTTGAATCACTGGGACAGATTCTTCAGGGGTCGCCGAACACTCGCATATTCATGACCGGACGACCGCATGTCCAGAGTGAGGTTAAGAGGATATTAGATGGAGCAGTAGCCACCGTATCAATACGGCCTACTGAAGATGGTATCGTTGGCTATCTACGCGAGAAGATCAGGAAGGACACTGCCCCAGGGATAATGAACCACGCATTGGAGGAAAATATTATGAAGAGTATTCCGGAGATAAGCTCGGAAACGTATGTATAATAAGAACGAGCGCACAGGAAAAGGTACCTCAGGTTAATAGCTGACATACTTGGATCCAGATTCCTACTGGCTTCTCTTCATATCGATGCAATCCTACGAGAAACCACCATCGCCCGTCGAGGAAAAAGGCTCAAGTCATTGAAGGATGGGGTAGGGTTAGGGGATGCATACGGCGTGACGCTGGAGCGGATAAGGGCTCAAGGTGGGGAAAAGACAAAGCTTGCGGTAGCCACTCTCACGTGGATCTGCCATGCGGAACGGCCGTTACAGGTGGATGAGCTATGTCATGCACTTGCAGTGGAGATAGGAACGGAGGATTTCGATCATGAAAATATTCCTTCCATAGATACATTGCTAGGCTGCTGCCAAGGCTTCATCACAATCGATAAGGAATCTTCGACTGTACGGTTAATCCACTTTACGGTCCAGGAGTATTTTTGCGCTCATCCGGACCTCTTTAAGAAACCTCACTCGATAATCGCAGAAGCCTGCTTAACCTATTTAAACTCACGACAGGTCAAGGGCCTCCCGACCCATCCTCTCCCGGATCACCAAAGCATGCCATTCCTGAGATATTCTTCGAGATATTGGGGAGCCCATGCAAAAAACGATCTCACAGAAGACGTAAGGACCCTTGCGTTGAAGCTCCTAAACAAATACCCAGACCACGTATCGGCTGCTTTGGTTTTGAAGCAAATAATTCATCCCAGTGATATTGAGCTCTTCGGTGCTTCCCCGCGCTTTTCTGGACTACACTGCGCGTCTTTCTTCGGGATTTTCGAACTTGTAGCTGCATTGATTGGTGCGGAGGATTGCGAGGTCAACCAGCAAGATCACCTATGCAATACGCCACTCTTATGGGCGGCCCGGAATGGCCACGAAGGAGTCACAAATTTACTGTTGGAATGTGAAGGTGTTAATCCCAATCACCCAGATAAGGATCGTCCGACACCACTTGGGTGTGCTGCTAGGAACGGACATGAAGGGATTGTTAAGCTATTGCTGGAGCGCGAAAACATCGACCGTAATCACCCGGATATCAATGGTCGAACACCACTCTGGTCTGCTGCTGCCATGGGACATGAAGGAGTCGTCAAGTTATTTCTTGAACGGGAAAATGTCGACCCCAATCACCCGGATATCGACGGTCGAACACCAATCTGGTATGCTGCTGCCATGGGACATGAAGGAGTCGTCAAGTTATTTCTAGAAAGGAAAAATGTCGACCCTAATCACCCGGATATCAATGGTCGAACACCACTCGCAGGTGCTGCTAGGAAC